AACAATACACATAAATAATCTTAAATAAAGGATTTAATTTTAATAATTAAATTAATATTATTACTTTTCTAAAATTCAAATAAAAACAATAAATGTATCTAAATCATCTTCATTACTCGATTTAAAAAAAAAAAATTGATCTCCGAAAATGGCTTAAACTAAAAAAAAGAAAATAAGAAAGAAAAAAATCTACCGGTACTAAGAGAAATTAACATAGCAAAAATAAAAAAAACAACTAAAAATAATAAAACTATGAATCAATCAAATAAACAAGGAGAAAAAACAATTTCAAAAAATAATTCTCATACTATTATTGTTATCACATTCGGCTTCGAAGCCATTTAATATGTACGGAGCCACTCCGGGTGCGAATTGTCATTGGCGATGATAGGTACCCGGGTACCTATAGATGCAGCCATAGATTTTAATAGAATAAAACCAATAAAAGTAGGGAGTATTCAGTAGTTATTGTGCTATAGTTCCTCTAATTTCCAATTTAGAAATAGAAATGCAATTACACCATTCTCAGGTAGGCCCCAAAAAATGTATAACTTTTTGGATTATTATTAATGAGATTTTGAGCTCGATTACATTAAATTTATTTTGTTTATTTAACAAATTAATTTTAAAAACCATTATTAACAATGCCTTTTCTTACTTTTCTTACAAAATATATGGACAGTTAACTCTGCTCATTTTGTGGGTATACAAATTTCGGATCTAAACCTATTCAAGGAAGAACTTCATAAGAAAATATACAATTAGTCATGAGTATGCTATTCATTTCTATGCCGTAATTGAACTGGAAATTCAACATAATTTATGGGGAGGGGAGACCTCTCCTCCAGTTGAGTGAATTTCTGGGGAGGGAAAAATGAGAGGAACTATGGCCGGTAGTTGAGCTGGGGAACCTCCATGACCTATATTATATTTATATTTATATTAATTTATATACACTATCACTATACTATACTTATACTATACACTATACATTGTTGACGTTGACGTTGAAAACCCCACAGTCACAGGCCCTGTTAACTCCATTTTTACTTATATTATATCCTTGCTTATTTTACAAGATAGGTTTTGGGGTAAGAACATTTCCCCGTTTTCAATATTAACTTGTATAAGGTAAACAAGAGAAAAATTGATCTTTGAACTTTGAATGCCGAGCCATAGACTGAGGTTAACCAGCAGGGAAACATCATTTTTCTGTGGAGGACCCCTTCCCCCACTTATAGAGAAAAATAAACAATGTTAAGGTTATGGGAGACGCCTTCCCCGAATCAAAAAGAGAGCTTAAGATATCTATTGAGAATCTGAGCTATGACTGGTGGTTGCCCTGGGAAACCACTAACTGCATTTTAAAAGAGAAAATAAGTTGTGTGGCCTAGTAATTGTCAGTTAATAAGTTAAACAACTGTCCCTACTGTTTGATTTTGTAGGTCTTAGAAGTTATTGACAGTTGATGCAGTGGTGGGTTAGTGCTGTCCACCTTCCATTTAAAAAAAATTGTCCCTAATAAAGAATGTTAATTAGTCAATCTTATTATAATAGGCTAGTGCAGGGGTCTCCAAACTTTTCAACCTGAGGGCCGCATTAACTATCAAACAGCAACTCGGGGGCCGAATACACACTCGAGGCCAAAATAAAAAAGAATCAAAACATGGATGTTGTTTTTAATCATTTATGTATTATTATTTCATTCATTTATTATTTAATAACACATTGATACACGACACCTGTATTAGTGGGAATGGTGAAATTGTCTCCTGGTTGCCAAAATAGCAGTGATTAGCAGACATTTCTGGATTTAGATTTGATGTCCCTAACATCAACAGTTACCTGAGATGATCATCGGACAAATTTGTTCTCAAATTGTTCTTCACTTATTTCGTTCCTGAAAATGTTTGTTCACACGGGCATGTTGTTCCAAAGTTTGAACGGTACATTGATGCAAATGTTTTGAGATTAGGAGAGTCTTCCTTGGGCGAAAACTAGTTAAAAACCCATCGGGCCTTCTTTTATCTTGTCCCTAAGGAGGTCATTTGCTTGCAACTCAATGACCTCCAGGTGTAGTTCATCTGGGCGACTGGCCACATCTACTTCAAATGGCTTTTGAAACAGTCTCACTTCTTCTGCCTTTAAATCCAAGTCAGAAAACCGCTGCTGACACTGCAGCTGGGGGTCTTTTGATGATCTTGCAGGCAAATGACGTGGGGAACTCCACTGTTGCTTCAGCCATGAAGACCATCCACTGTTGAAAGTGTGTCAAGTTGTTGGTCTGTACTAGTTCCAAAAAACAAGACGAATTTGGATCTGAAGGCCTTTAGGTGGGTGTATAGGCTGTGGCTTGCCTTACATTCCAGGAAGTCACCTATTTCCTTTCTTAACTTAAACACTCTGCTCAGAACTTTCTCACAACGTAGCCATATTATTGCTGTAAAATGGTAAATCTTGTGATTCTGTGTCTGTATTTTTTAACATGTCTCTGAACTGTCTATGGTTGAGCCTATGTGACCTTATTAAATTAACCCTCTTTACCACAGGATTCAGTACGCTGCTAATGTCCACATATTTTTCACACAAAGCTTTCTGCTGAATAATGCAGTGCAGGAACATTGGTTGCAGAATTTTTTTCTCACTACACATCTGCTTCACTTGTCCAACCAAGCCTTTCTTTATGCCACTCATGTTCTTTCCTCCATCAACAGTCAGGCAACTGAGGTTAGTCTAGTCCGAGTTATAATCAGCAAATGTTTTTTTCAACTCATTGAATATATCCTCTCCGGTAACAGTGTCGTACATACAATGAAGAAAAGCCAGCTCAGTGTTATGTTCATGTCTTCATCCACACTTCTAACGAACACAAGCAGTTGAGAGGCGGAACAGCTGTCCAGCAATTCATCCATTGCAATTAAAAATTGGCGAAACTTGCTTGCATTTTTTGCTATTTGAGTCACAATGTTTTCACCCATGTCTGCAACACGGCGGGCAAGCTCCGCCACTAGATGGAATTATATCATCTCATTGACTGTGAACGGAGTAGAAAAACTAAGCAGCGAATAAGGTTTTGCCAAGTCATGATCCGTGTGAAAACATAACGCACTACTGCGGGCCTCTAATTTTAATTCGGTAAAAACATAACGTCCAAGTAAGCGGCGTCTGATTTTGGCAGGGTACATGTAAATGTCCGTAATTTTCTCCGTAGACAAAAAGGTCTCCGCGGGCTGCATGAGAGAGCCCTGGGGGCCGCATGTGGCTGTCGGGCCGTAGTTTGGAGTCCCTGGACTAGAGTAATGTCAGCAGATAAGATACACATCTTTTTACTAAATCTTGGTGTGCATCTGTTTAATTTCTAAGAATAGTTCTTACATTTTTCTTTTATACCAATTTTGTTTTTCAGATGCCAGAAACAAACTCTGCTGAGGAAATGGAAGGGGAGAAGGAAACTTTCGCATTCCAGGCTGAAATAGCCCAGTTGATGAGTCTAATCATCAACACATTTTACAGCAATCAAGAAATTTTCCTGAGAGAATTAATTTCTAATGCATCTGATGCACTTGATAAAATTTGCTATGACTCCCTCACAGACCCCAGTAAACTGGACAGTGGAAAAGACTTGCAAATCAGATTAATCCCAGACAAAGAGAACAAAACACTCACAATTGCGGACACTGGTATTGGTATGACGAAAGCTGACCTTGTCAACAACCTAGGTACCATTGCCAAATCTGGCACCAAAGCTTTTATGGAGGCACTTCAAGTAGGTGCAGACATCTATGATTGGGCAGTTTGGTGTAGGTTTCTACTCAGCCTACCTTATTGCAGATCGTGTTTTTGTTGATTCAAAACACAATGATGATGAACAATACACCTGGGAATCTTCTGCTGGTGGATCTTTCACTGTGACTATATCCAGAGCAGCACCATTGTGTAGAGGTACTAGAATCACATTGCACATGAAAGAAGATCAACTAGAATACTTGGAAGAGAAGAGAATTAAGGATGTTATTAAAAAACACAGTCAGTTCATTGGGTATCCCATTAAGCTGCTTGTAGATAAGGAGCATGACAAGGAAGTTTCAGTGATGAGGAAGAAGAAAAGAAAGAGGAGGACAAGGGAGAGAAAAGTGAGGAAGACAAACCAAAGGTAGAGGATCTGGATGAAAATGATGATGATGAAGCTGAATCAAAAGATAAGAAAAAGAAGAAAAAAAGTAAAGAAAAGTACAGTGAAGAGGAAGAGCTTACTATACATCACAATCCGGTGATGAATTGACCTCCCTTAAGGACTACGCTTCTAGGATGAGAGAGAATGAAAAGGACATTTATTACATTAAAGGTATACCTTTTTATTTTTAATTTGATAGCAGCCACTAAACATAAATTACATAACCTTAACTGTCAGGAACACAACCTTATGGTTATGATTTATAGAAGTGGCGACTCTGTTTATATTTAAACTAGGCCTTTATAGGACAAAAGATCTTTTAAGTGGAGCACTAAAATTCTGCTCTCAGTGCATAAATTCAAATTTGAGTATTACCGGTATATTACATTTGACTTTATTATTACTATAAATCATGCAATATAAAAATCATTTACAGTATAGGGATTTATTTTAATTTTGGAAAATGTTCGTAAATAGTTTAAAAATAATTTCAGTTATAAAGGTTTTTAGGGCCTTAACTAAGTCATGGAGATACCTGACAAAAATTACTTTTACAGAAATATGTTGCTAGAATTCAATGTATTTATAAAGGATTTTTAAAAAAATGCTAAATCTGTAATGAGCAATGTATATTTTCAACGTTAGAAAATGTAATGCTTGAATTACTATGTCAATTAAGCACAATCCATAAATGTTTGCTAGGTGGAATTAGTAGGTCCTGGCTGTAAATAAAATCTTAAAGTGGGGTGTGTGGGGAATCTGTAAACTGCCAGTTATGTCTAAATTTACAATATTTGTTTGTTTACAGGGGAAACAAAGGCATCTGTACACAGCTTCTGTTGAGCCAGTTAAAAAGAGGGGCTATGAAGTCATCTACATGATTGATCTCATTGATGAATACTCTGTATAGCAGCTGAAGGAGTATGAGGGAAAGAACTTGGTTTGTGTCACAAAAGGAGGTCTAGAATTACCAGAGGATGAAGCTGAAAAGAAACGTCTTGAGGAAGGTTATGAAGGAAAGACTTGACAAAAAAGTGGAAAAGGTTAGTGCCCAATTATTTGAATACAAATCTGGGTTTTGAATACAAATTAGGGTTTAGTAATTAGTTGTTGTACTTATAGAACATAGAACTGACTTTAGCTTCATTAAATTTCAGCTTTCCAAAATACATTTATTTCCAGGTGGTTGTTTCGAATCGTCTTGTCACTTCCCCATGCTGCATTGTTACTTCTCAATATGTTTGGTCTGCCAACATGGAAAGAATAATGAAAGCTCAAGCTTTAAGAGACACATGTACAATGGGCTACATGGCTGCCAAGAAACATATTGAAATTAACCCATATCATCCAATTATTAAAACTTTAAAAGAAAAGGCTGATGCAGACAAAAATGACAAAGCTGTTAAAGACCTCTGTTTGCTGCTGTTTGAAACTTCCCTTTAAAGACCTCTGTTTGCTGCTGTTTGAAACTTCCCTTCTTGCATCAGGCTTCAGCCTTGAAGACCCCACCTCACATGCTAACAGAATTCACTGAATGATAAAACTGGGCTTAGGTAAGTAATACAAATATTTTTAAAAACCTGTTTTTGAAAGATTGTTTACTTTTAAATCAAAATAGTTCTATATGTGACTGAATATATTTTCAGTTTAGACGTTGTTGCTATCATGGGTTAATTATGCGCTTTGATCCCTGTGCTGAATTCTTGTTTATTTAGACTTAACCATGTTTCACAGATTTGGGGGATATGGGAATGAGTGTGGCTATAGTGATGGATGTTAATGTGCATGCATTGATAAACAGATTGATTTAATCATTCCTTATCTTTCAGGTATTGATGACGATGATGCTTCATGTGGTGATGCTGGAGCTGGAACTGAAGGTGCCAGCACAAAAGACATGCCACCACTGGAGGGAGATGAGGATGATGCTTCCCCTATGGAAGAGGTGGACCTATATGCTGTGTACCAAATTTTTTATAGTAATGATAGTGTTAGGATGAAAATGCTCATTATCACAGTTTATACATACACACGTTAATACATATACATAGTTTAGTACCAGTATTTGAACATTAAGTTGTGATTCCTGCTTCCTTTACAAGTGACCTTGATCCAACATCAATGGAATTGTCAATGCATTCCTCACTCTTGGCCACCTAGCACCGATTTCAATCAATTTTGAGGTGTAACCAGCCGTTGATGGTATTTCTAAAATATTCCATTTGAAATTACATTAGGAGCAGGAGATGAAGTAAACTAATTTATAGAGATGCAGAAGCTATTATTGTTTACATCCTATTTACATACTCAGCACACCAGGGTTCTCAAATCATCAGACTGGGTCGCAACAAGTATTCCACAAAAAAGCTATTGCAAATTCAATAAAGTACAACTGTTACAATCTGCTCAAACTTTAATAACAAAAAACATTAAAATTAAAGGTTCCCAGAGACCTGGCAGTGCTTCTTCATAAACAGGTGTGTTACATTTGGCTTGAGTGAGGAAGCAACTGAGACCCTTAGTATAGCTTGCAGATGCTTATCAGTGAATTTGGCTCTGCACTACGACTTGTTATAGTTCTTAATAGTAGTGAACTACTCCCAAAATAGCACATGATCCGCTTGAACTTGAACAACCTGGAAATCTCAAAGAGAAGGTGGAGGTCAATGTTCTCATATATTGTCCATGCTTGTATGTTTTTCCATTCACCTCCCTGACCGAGTTCAGAATCGCACTGAAGATCAATCAGCTCTACTTGAACAACTTGAAGCACAATAAAAAGGTGGGGGGGGGGGCATCTTCCACTTTGAAGGAGAAATGGTCAGGAAAAATTTGAAACATGGCTCTGTGTGTTTTGAAGTCTGCAAACGTGATACAAATTTTTCCTGTAGCTTTGCAAAGGCATCAGGTTCTACTGAATGGTGTGCTGAGTCCATGATTACCGGTAATTCACATGTTGCTAAATGGCAGAGGTGTCTCTGAGAACCATAAGACAAGTTTTTTTGCAGAATGCCCTGACATTGTTTAGGGCAACACTGACAATAAGCTGCCCCTGGTCTCTTAACTTCTTGTTGAGTGCATTCAGCTCCCCTGTAATGTCAACAAGAAAAGTCAAGTCCAGGAACCGTTTGGGATCACTTAGTACCGGTACAGGAACAATCACCCCATCTATCTCTATGAAGGCTTTATTATTATTAGTAAAACGTGTTCAAACAGTAGGCAGGAGCAGGCAACATGAATTTTGATTTTTAATCGTCGAAAAGGTCCTTTTTACTAGCCCTATTTTAAAAGTGAACAAGCTGACAGGCTCAGAATTTCCCTCACTCCTTAGCGGCAATTTTAATATTAATAGATTCTGTGTCAGATTGCTACAATTTACACAACTATGGTTGTGCCTCCCCACTAAATGACTTTTTAAACTTTTCTCAGAATAGCACTTTGGCCACGATTGTCTCATAAAATGCTATAAAATAAAAACTTTTATTCCGATTTTAAAACGGGATTTACCATTATAATCAACGTGCAAATCTATACAAATTACAAACATAATAGAAATCAGAATTAGACGAGTCGGTGAGATTCGACTGAAACCGCCGCAGAGGGTCACATTATAATAATAGATAGCCTACCCGGTATGAGAATGGGGAAAATGCGCGGGCCGCATTAACACTAAACTTTGCTGTCATGTAGCGTGCCGCAAAATATCGTCTTGTGGGCCGCTAATCGGCCACGAGTTTGAGACCCTTGCGATAGAGCAAACCTGGCTACTCCTTGGGAAGATGATAGCTAGAAACTATAACATAACTGTTTTGTTGCGTTTAATTTTTCAGGTTTAACCATACTCTGTTTTACTCATTTTAACATAACTGTCAGCTTTACTGACAATAATCATATTTATACTTCCACAAAAAATGATATTTAGTTTTTAACAACCTTTCAATTTATTCTGCATTATAAAAATTTAAGTATAAAAACTTGATTAACAAGCTAATTCAGCTAAAAATGAAATTGTTTTTCATACCCGGTACCATACAATTTTATTGTAATTAATAATAATATGGATCAGCACAAAGTAAAATGTATTTGTAAATTTATTTATATTCCTTTTTTTAGGGGGTGGGGGGTTTAGAAAACCCTTTGTAACTAGCCGTGATACATAACAATATATACATGTGTATAATAATAATAAATCCTTCAATAAATTGCGAAATATTAATCGAATCATTGAAGGTGAAGGGGAGATCACTATTACGGGAAATCGGTAATCCCTTATTCTCTAGATTTTACGAGAAGGTATATTCCATTATTTTTTGGGTTTATTTTTATCCATGATATTCCCCATTTTAAATTTTCTTCATCAATTAACAAATATTTATATTTACAATATCTAATGGTGTGTGTTAATACATGGATGTTTAAATTAATTTGGCGTGTGAGTGTGAGAGGGCTGGCACGTGAGTGTGTCTCTGTATTAGTAAGTATTATTAGTAGTAAGTAGTACTAGTACTAGTAGTAGTAGGCCTACTAACTACTACTACAAGTATTATAATTATTATAATATTTTAGACAGTGAAGACCAGGGGTCTCAAACTCGTGGCCCTGAATCTGAAGTATAATGATAATAATGTGATTCGT